AATATGGACAACTCTCGACTCGCGTCATGGGATAAAAATTTCTTTTGCAATTTACAGAACTTACATTTATTCGATTCATGCGTCTTAAAATTTGACCAACTTCGTGTTAATTACCCAACATTCAAATCATATAATTCAACATCTCAGATTGATTATGTTTGGATCTCCACGGAAGCGGCTCTACATCTTTTAGACTGTAAAACTATTGAGGTCTCCTCACAATTATCAGATCACATGATTGTCTTAATAAGATTAGAAAATTTTCTGGACATCAAAAACAATAATAGGAATATTCCAATGAAAACGGTCTTCGATTACAACAAGATGACTGATGATAGATGGACTCAATTTAGTAATAAAACTGATGCACTGGTGGATGCATGTATGCTTAGATCGTTAAATAATAATGTCTCATTTAATCAAAATAATTTGAATTTTTTCTGGGATCTGTTACAAGAATGCATCGTCAAAGCGGTGGATAAATGCATTCCATCACATAAATCTAAAGGGCACTATCAGCTTAACCGATCACCGCTTTTGTCATCACTTTATAAGAATTTAAAATTCATATACAAATTCAAAAAAGCAGTGAAGACTACATGTCGCTCTTCAATTTTGCCTGGGGTCTGGCAAAAACTGATCAGCCAATTTTACGATATATTACAAAGTTTTGATATTCTGTTTGTAGCAATATCACAAGACCCTCCTCTAGCACTGATACGGTCTCTGACGCCATATATTGATATTTCGTTAGCAGCCCTCTTAATCAAAGCCAAACTCTACGAAAACAATCATAAACTCAAGTCAATCCAACTAGCTCTAGAAAAAAGACTCGAGAATTATCACTCCTCCCCATCCAAAATGATTGACTCTTTATTAAATCGTACCAAAAAACCATCATATTAGATCGATGTCTCGATAACTCCTCATCATCACGTGATCTCTTAACAGATGAAAGTGATGTTAAAAAAGAAGTAGCCAGACATTTTCAGATGGCTGCGGGCTCA